ATGATATATGAAGATATATATACCGCTTGCTTTCTTTGCTGGCCATGGATGATTAACCTTGTGAATGTGAAGTTTGGGCAGCACAAATTGTTGAACAAAAAGTTCAGTTAGTCATGAATAATTTGTTTTATACTGCATGCACAGTATAATAGTTCAACACAAGCCTTTTTGTATTGAAACCATCTGTGACTCACAGCATCATTGAGATAAATGAGAGCTCTTTATGTGGGAGCAACTATACAGAAAGATGCTTAGAAATGACATACACAAGGCCACTTTGAAAAAAATGCTTTAAATGTAGGACAATAGTAACTGCTCTTGAAATTTACCATTAAGTGTGAACATACTGATTTATTTATTTTCCCCAAAACTTCCGGCTTGCTCCTAGCCATAGAAAAGGAGTTGGCAAAGTGCGGCCCTGCAGACTGCTTAGGCCCTAACAGACCTTCAAGTCTGTTCTTGTGGTCTTCAACCCTTTCAGATGCCCCGGACTATCCTTTCTTTGATTAAAAAGAGGAAGTGTGAATTCCCTTTCCTGGAAGCCTTCTGTCAAATCCAGTGAAATTATTTTCCTTCTCTATGCAACCTTCCCCATTAAAAAAACAGTTTATAGTTTGAAGATGCTTTTAGATCCACATCTCATTTTGGATGCCCAGCTAGCATCTGTAGTTAGGTTTCCCAGCTCTCAGTGCCTGGACCCTCTTCCCAAGGCTCAAAGTAAATGGAGGAATCTCAAGGCAAGAGCACTGCCTGCAAATGTTTTTTTTTAAAAAAAAACTTGTGTGATGCTGGCCTGCTTGAGAATGGCTTCTGTAGACTCTCTACAGACATTATCCCCTCTATTTCCTCCTTTATCTCATTTGTTAGATTTTTTTAAAAAAAATTAATGACATGTTCAAAAAACCATACCAGCTTCACTCAGAGAATGTAACTGGAGTTGATGCTTAATGGATTTTGTTTAATGTCATGATCAGGCACTAGCCCTAGATCTCTGATTTTAGCTGTCAAATCTCAGGGCCTATCTTTGTTACATACTGCTGGTTCATTAGATTGATTACTTTTGTAGAAAAGCTGTATAAATGTTTGAAATTCAATATATAAAGAAACAAATATGTTCACAGAATATGGAAATCAGGTAGGGGCAATTCTATTGAGTTTACATGTTGCTAAAGACCTAGCACATTCACACTTCCCAAATCAATATGCAAACTGATCTGAAATTTTTCTTTAATGTTTACACTTCTCATAATTCTGTGATGGAGTTCTCCACACTCAAAAATGCAAAGAAATATATAATTACTCAGGAAAAGTACTTACAAGAATGCCTGTGCTAGTGGGAGAAAAAAACACAAAATTCAGTTCAGAAACACAAGTCTCAGCAAAGTCAGAAAGCTTTACTTGAGAAGAACTGAGGGGCTATTGCACCAGGCAAAAACCCGGCTGCTCCCCAATGAGATACAGCCGGAGGCAGTATGCAGGCAGGTATTACCGCATACAAATTACCACCAATTCTGCTGGGCAGCTGCATCCCAGCTGCATCCCTGGTCCCAGGTGCTCTTTGGAGGCCTTTTTTCACAGCCGGGAACTTGCCATCTTTGAAAAACAGCCTCCAAAGTCTACCTGGGATGCAGAATTGGCAGCAATTTATGTGTGGTAATACTGGTCTATATCCTGCCACCCAGCTTGGGGAGCAGCCGGGCTTTTTCATAGTGAAATAAGCCCCTGATTTGATCACAGCATAATAAAGTTGTCAGGACTGAAATATTTTGAGTTACATAGTATATTAAAAACACATAGCAATTCAACCATTTTTGTGGCCTTGCATTCCATTTGTCTACAAGCCCAACTATGAAGGTGGCAACATGGCACTGTCAAAATTTCTTTAAAAACCTTTCACTCTCTTTCACTGTGTGCCACCACTGCCACCAATTTTGTGAAGGTGATGTCCACTATCCCACCAATTCTTCACTGTGAGACTCAAATTCAAGACTCTCTTGTCTCCTGCACTATAACTTTCACACACACCCAGCATGGCATCAATTATTCTTTGACAGTCACATATCCTAATGTGTTCCAAACCTAAAAGATTTTTCTCAATGTTGATAGCATTTTAATGTGTTTCTGAAATCACTTCAGACAGCTGCTTGTTGAAACAAAGTAACAAATTTATTTACAAGTCAGGCTGAATACAGTATCTCATTTAGTGGATGTTGTTCACAATAGATACAATGTATAAATACTTTATTAATTACATAGTTTAACAGTTTTTTTAGCTTGTCTTTGTAATTGTTTCTTTATAGCTTTATATATCTTTTCTTACAGTCTAACTTCTCACAGTACCTTTATTAAACATTTGTATCCTATAATCCTTCTGGTTACCTGTGACTCCACTAGTCACTAAACACTATGTCTCCTGCAGAATGCTACAACAATTAAATTAAGGACACTCTTTGACCCTTTCTTGAGTACCTAAAACCCTTTCTAGCTGTCCCTCACAACAGCCTAACTTACCGCCTCAATGGCTCTTCATCCCTCAGGGCACATTAAACATCAACCATTTTTAAACCTGCTCCTCCCTCTTGTATACTCACTCTTGGGAGCAGCTCCCACCTTTTCCTGGCTTCAGTCCCATTGGCTAGTGCCAAAGTTCTAATCTGCCTGTTATCTCCACACCAACCATTCTGTTTTCCCAGACCTGCCCCTCCTTCTCCCTTGCACCATGCTTTCTCATGGGATGGATAGCTCACAGCTTGGTTCCTCCTTCTCACACACATTACCTGGAGCCTTGATTGTTAAACAGTGCTTCCACCAGCATCACCAGTGGTATAATACATCCCATCACTCAGTATTACAAGCATAAACAAAAGTATGGCTAACAAGCATGGCAGGACCTATGATTCTGAGAGAGAGTGTGATTTGCCCATGGTCAACTGTAGATTTACACAGCTGACTAGGAATTCAGACTCTGTTTTCCTGGACTCCTAGTCCAACTACTCAGACCATCCATTCATACTCTTACACATTTTACAACTGTGCTAGAATAAATATGCATATTCAGGTCCAGGTGCATTTTGTGGAAATATTTCATCATTTTGACTTATAGCAAATTAATCCTCTGAATATTCAGCAACACCACAGTATTAAACTTGGATAAATATCTCTGGAATTCTGTGTAAGAGCGACCACAGCTGATTCTCTGACTGACTCATTAGCATACTTCATGGCACACATTCAAGCGCTATAATGTATTGCAAAACAGAACAAAGCTGTAGATCCCAATCTTTGTCTGGTACAGAGTGTAAGGTACATTGAGTGACACAATGATCTAACATTTAAAATATACACCCCGTTGTTCTACATTCACATTAAAAATAAATCTCTTATCTTCATGAAGGATGAATTGAATGAGCTGCCTTTGCAAATTTATACATGCCAAATGTAATTAGCCATCAGAAGGAAACAACACATGGTGGAACATTTTCCAACATGCCTTGGCAAGCAGTATGGTAATGATCCATTTACTTTCCCTGATAAGCCCCACTCAAATGATAATGGTACAACCTAAGGCCTTTGATGGCTAAATACTATATCATCACTGCACAATCCCTATCAGAATGGGTGGGGGTGTAATCGTATATAAATTAATAAAAGCTGTAATGCTAGGAAATAATATGATTTTTCCAAATAAATAGGACTGATTTAAATTGAAATATATTTATATGTATTCCAAATGAAATTAAAAACAGCACCCAAGTTAACTGTGCTTGCCCATGAGAGGGGAAAATCCACAATTGGGCATTGTGTTTATAAGGACTGATCAAAACGTTAAAGTGAGCAACCTTTGCATGCTTATATTCACTAATTGCTAGTTTGCAGGCCTGCTGACTTCTAGTTTGTTTCCTTTACAACACCCATTGTCTTCCTGCATCACTCTATCCCATAGCTATTTTGTCCTCTTCCCTTCCTCATCCTTTTTCAGACCTTGTGTTTGATTATTCAGAAGTTATTTGTAAGTGAAGGGATTTACATATTTGTTTTTTCTCTTTGCCAGCCTCTGTATGTGTGTGAGTGGACACGGGGCTGGTTGTTGTTCAGATTTGCCTTTCCCATTGATTACCCTGGTGGTGCAGTGGTTAAATGCCAGTACTGCAGCCATTCACTCACAAGCCATAAGGTTGTGAGTTCAGTCCCATCCAGGGGCTTGAGGTTGACTCAGCCTTGCATCCTTCTGAGGTCACTGAAATGAATACCCAGCTTGTTGGGGGCAATTAGCTTACAGTTGTAAAGCACTTACAGACTGCTCAATATGGTATGAAGAGGTATATAAATGAAGGTGCTATTGCTATTGCTATTGCTATTATTCTGCTAGAAAGACCTACTTTCTCTTAGAAAAGTAGAAAGATACTACTATCTCTTACATTTACCAACACAAAATGCCACAAAAGGAATCTACACATTCTAATTCTTAATACCTCTCTGTTAGGCTTGGTCAGGTGTGGAAAGTTTCAATGTGCCATGCCAATCGATTTTCATTCAGAAATCACAATTGGAAGTCACTTCAGGGGTTGGGGAGCTATTATAGGGTGCTTGGAAGGGATTGAGGAATGGGTTTCCAGATAATCCACTGCCCCTACAGGCCTTTTGGAGTAGTGATTGGTTTGGGGGTTTGTTTGTTTTTTCTAGTCATTATTCACCCATTATTGGAGATAAGTGTATGGGGCTTTTGTGAGAGTCATGGTCTTGGTTGCTGCCAAAAAGATCTTGGGGTCTCATGCAACTTGTGGGCCACATTTTCCCTGCCAATGTAAGAGGTGGTACAAAAATTTATGGGGTGGTGAAATAAATTGTCTTTGTTGTGTGACTTAAGTTGTTTCCAATTTATGGTGAAGCTAAGACAAACCGATCAACAAATTAGCAAGATTTGTTCAGACAGGGTTTACTATTGTCTTCCTCTGAGACTGAGAGATGTGACTTGACCAAGGTCACCCAATGAGTTTCCATGGCTGAGCAAGCATTTGAACCCTGGTCTCCAGATTCATAGCCCAGTACTCAAACCACTATGCCATGCTGACTCTGAAAGAAATATAAAAGTCCAAGACTAAGCCAGATATTTTGGCTCTGAGATGTGCCATTAAACTCAGACCCAAGATGGAAACTGCAGACTGAGTGATTCTTAGATGTGCAGATATCAGATCACATCCAACAAATGGAACCAGTGCAGTCATATAAATTCCATTAAACTGTGTTTTGTGGATGTATGCCAATGAAATTTAGTGTAATTCTGAGGACATTTTGTTGAACAAAATTGCTATTGCATTTTCATTTGCATAGTTCTCCCACTACCACCACTGCTTCCCTTCTTCTTGAGGATTTCTTCTGATGCTGCTGTTGGTTTGCCCCCTCCCTCCCTCTCTGTATTGATACTTTGCTCCATGCCCTTTCCCCCTCCCTTCTTTAGCTCATGACACTGCTGGACCTCCCAGCCTTGCTTGTTGTACTCTGTCACAGCTTCCTTGCATCACACCATACCTTCATAATCCTTCCTTTCCTTACTACACCTTTCATCCTCTCTTCCTTTCCCTTTTTTTAAAGAGTCCACAATGACTTTATCAGGAAACTTTCCCATGGGAAGGACATTTGTAGACCTGAAGACATGTGAAGGAACCAGGTACCACCAAGATCAAAACTAAATGGGTTTCCTGATCACTCCATCCTTCCTCCAGGCTTTCTGCTTATGGTTCAATCACTTTAAGCTGAGTAAGACCATACTTCATACCTATCTTCTGCCATGTTCCCAGACAACTTCCCTATCTACCTTGGGGTTGTCCTAAATTCACTCTGTTTTTGCTAGTTCAAACTTTAAACCATCAGCTGGGATTGCTCTTTTTTTCAATTCCATGAGAAATCACTGAAACTCTTTCTATTTCATGGGGGAACATTAAGTATCCCTTTGGGGCACCAAGCTTGATAAAAAATATCTGATCTACACATAGTCACTCTGTGCATACAACTGCTACCTACCAGAGCTCTTGTCCAACTGTCCAGAATGGCTTCTTCTTGTGTTGCCCTCAGACACTGTCTGAGCTTTCTGACCCCACTTTCCATGCTTTTGTCTTCAGTACAGGTAAATATTATTTCCTCTATAACCCTAAGCCTCCACTATCCAATTTCCATACTTCTATTTCAGTTAGCTCTAAATAGTGTGTCTGTTTGAACTGTCATCATGGGTGATTTACTTTTGCATATTTCTAAAATAAAAACCTTCTTTATTTCCCAAACCTGGAGTGCTCCTGTAGTTAATACTGGTATATATATAGGTGAGAATGATTCTTAGGTTACCCAGGCTCTCACAAGCCACATAATGGAGCTAAACAATCCCCCAACATTTTAGAAGATTCTAACATAGTTGGTGGAGACTCCGTCACTCTCCACCTTTTTTGGATAACAGCCTTTAAACAGAAGATGGATGGACATATCTGAGGAGTGCTTTAGCTGTCTATTCCTGCATTGTAGGAGGTTAGACCAGATGGCCCTTGAGGTCACTTCCAAAAGTATTTCTATGATTTTATGATTGAAGAAACATTCTATTACTGATATTCCAAAGCAACATGAAATTATCACGAATGCCAGTTTAATTTGGATTTTTACCATCTAACTTCTTAGGCAGTGGATGTTAAAAATAGCACTCAAGATGGCTAGCAAATATTATTCAAACCAAAGTAAAATTTATTCAAGTATTTTATTAAAGTATTATTTATTCAAGTATAAAAACATGAGAGTGGTGTGGGACCATTTTAGTTATAGCTTTTGTTCTTAAAGTAATCCATAAATGTGGTTCTGGTCTTGGTCACAGTGCCCTTCCTGGGTAGGTAAGCATCAAGAGTATGGTCCTATGCTCAGAAAAACATATCCTGGCTCAATACCTATTTTATCCAGGGAAAATATTCAGGTGGAATAATACTGTCCTGGTTAGTTTCCAATATTCATCTGTGGAGTGAAATGAAAATGGCATGAAGAACAGAAAATGGCAGTTTGCCTAAAGCAAGTGAAAGCCTCATACCACCCTCTGTGAACATTAGAGAATCAACAGACCATTTGAGTGAAAGGACTACATCTTGGCATTGTTCCTTCCTACCATCTCCACCAACACTCCCTTTTTCCCCCATCTTCACACTTTGAAAAACAGATTGAAAATATTCTACTGGCAGACATTTTCAAATATAGTGTTAGAAAGTTACTCGATTTGAGGAAGTGACAGAAAGCTCTGTCACTAGTTTCAGATTAGTCATAGCCTATGGCATTTCTGAGAGGGAAAAAAGTGAAGGAAACAGAAAAATGCTGTAGAAATTATGTAAGATCAATCTGAGGAATTCAAAGGGGAAGTGGATAATTCTGAGGCAGTCACATTCAGAGGAGTGACATTAATTTGACTTTTTATGATCTTTCCAGCAATTCTTACTGCTTTTGCAGTTTGTGTCTGAGCTGAACACTTTGACAGTTTATGATCACATAAATGGCCTTTCTCTCTCTCTCTCTCTCTCTCTCTCTCTCTCACACACACACACACACACACACACACACACACACACAGAGCTGTGCAAGGATGGGGTTAATTCATTCATATATGTTTACAACCAGAGTCAATCCACCATCTCACATTGAGTCATGGCTGAATATTAAGAATTGGTTTAATGGGAAATTATTTTGCTTATAGAGATAGATAAGCACTGAAAACGTGCATCAACTTCTGGCAGCTAGTGACTTCCACTTTAAAGATGTGGTGAAGCCACTCTAGATTTTATTTGAACGAGTTATGCAAGATACTGGTCAAGATTCTGGCAGATCCTACCATAAAAGTTGTTTGTTGTTGTTTGCTGTTTCCCCTCTCCTTGGTTATGGTACTGTTGATGTTTATACCTGTATAGAATTGCTAGAATTGAACATAAATATGTTGGAAGTATTACAAAGTTGATGTTACAAGAAAGAGGGGCTTAGTAGTAAAGGTAATGGAATATGTAGTCTTTATAAAAGGAAAAATAATTGTCTGGCTGGGGTAATGAACAGATATGTGGGGGAGGAAGATGGTATTAATATTCACCAAGGCCAATCTCATAGGAAGCCTGAAAGAAAAATGTGTGAAGGGATGGGAAGTAGTGAGAGTAAATGTAAAAATGTTTTGGTTTATGAGTGAATGGGGGAAACCTACAGGATGGGTGCATTGTTTACTACATGCTTGCAACTAGGGATTATAGTAGTTCTATTTACAGAAGTCATGCTGTTAACTTCTTTGGTTATTGAAATAAAGTTTTGCTGTTAAAATACAGAAGCCTGGTTTACTAAACTGAAGGGGGGTGGGCAAGTCTTGACAGTACTAAACCTATTTGAGGAAAAGTCCAATGTCATCATGCAAAAATAAATAAATAAATAAATAAATGGGGGGGGGGGAGAACCCAGGTTCTTGGTTAGCTCCTTTAAATTCTATAATAAATCTCAGAATGGAATCACTGCAGTCCTGACATGGAAACTTCTACCTACCACTCATCATCCTGTAATGTCTCTGCTTTGCAGTGTGCTCACTGAAAATGCACTTGTACAGGACCAAAACCACATGGAAAGAATTTTCACAGAAGCATCTTTTCATATAACCTGAACATATTACACCAAACCAATTCAATCTGAAGGTCCAGTGTCAGCATGCAAAAGTTAGCATGCAGATGCTAAGGGTATTGCCCCATGACAGGAAAAAAAAAAACAACAACCCCAAAACCTTCAACCCTGCATCCATATGGCATAAATTTAATGGAATTAATTCCTTCAGAAAGAGGAAAGTCCCTCAGAAGGTATAACTATAACTACAAATTTAAAACTGCCCACACTGTTTTTTTAAATCTAGACTATAAATGTTCCTTTAGAACAACAAAGCTATTTGTTTGAAACTTCATGTTTCATTCTCCATGCTTTCTTCTCATGTGTAGAGCAGACATATGTATAGAGCACTAGAAGAATGGTTTATTCACTCACAGGACCACCTCACCCTTCATTTTTGAGTGAGGCACTTCCTACTTTTCAAACCACAGGCTGCCTCAGAGATCAGTTTTTCAATTTTTCTCCCCAGCAAAATGGTGATATTGTCATGCCAAAAATCTCAGTATAATTATGTACATATACTGTGCAAACAGTGTGTCCTGAAACATGCTTTCACTCTGTATGTTTTTAATCAGCAGTGGCTTCACTTGTGCAACACTAGGCAAGCATGCTACATAACACTAAAAAGAATTGTTCATTGTGGTTGTTGATTGTTATCAACAATTCATTTTTTCCCAGTCATGGGATTCAAGACAGCTGGCAAAATTAAAACAGGTATAGCTAAAACTCCACATTGTGTATCAAAGTAAAAATATAATTAACATATAATTTATAAGAATTAAAAGTAATTTCAAGATATACCTATTAAAAATACTCTGTGTGTGTGTGTGTGTGTGTGTGTGTGTGTGTGTTGCATGCCTTCAAGCCATTTCTAACTTTTGGTGACCCTAAGACAAACCTATCAGGAGGTTTTCTTGGCAATATTTTATTCAGAGGAGGTTTGCCATTGCCTTCCACTGAAGCTAAAAGCATGTGACTTGCCTAAGGTCATTCAGTGTATTTCATGGCTGAGCTGGGAATCAAATCCTGGTCTCCAGAGTTGTAATCCAACACTCAAACCACTATGCTATGCTAGTATGGGACCACATTATAAAATTTCCCCATGAACAGTTTCTCAATTTCTCAAAGGCCTGTCCAAAAAAGAAAAAGAAAAAAAGAACTATTTTCCTGCCTCTAGAAGAATACCATGGAGGACATCAGTCTATGCAAGGCATTTCAGAGCCTGAGAACAGCTACCAAGAAGGCCTTTCCTATGTTATCACAAGATGTATCTATAAGGGTGGTTGCATGGACAGAAGATCTCAACTCATAGGCAGGCTCACCTGGGAGGATATGGTCCTTCAGATACAGTAGACTTAGCAGTATAAAGCTTTATAGCTCCTAAATAGGACTTTGAATTGTGACCTGCTGATAGCACCACTAAAAC